GAGCTCCACCTCCAGGTACAGGCCTCCCCTGGCTCTCTGTGCGCTGTCCGGGCCGTGGATCAGAGTGTGCTGCTCATGAAGCCCGAGGCTGAGCTCAGTGTTGACACGGTAAGTCCAACCCAGCTGGCGGGGAGCACTGTGGCAAAAGGTCTCCTTCTGCTGTACCATGGCAAGGATAGGGAATGGCAGAGCCCAGCACTAATACCTGCCATCCGGGGCATGATGGCTCTGCCCACAGCAGGTTCAGCCTCACGACTCTTGTGAGAAAGGACACAAGTAGAGGTGCACCGATACATCAGTCTGATATCAGATCGGTACCGATATGAAGAAAATTTTCTATATTGGATATCAGCCCAATGGGGCCAATAGTTTGGCCAATAATTGCCCATGCTGCACACAGCCCCAGCACAGCACAGCACAAAGCAGAGCTGGCAGCGTGGAGAGCTGCCTGCAGCTGGTAAGTCGGAAGGGGATGGGGGAGGGAAGAAGCGTGGGGGGCAGAGCAACACCCCCCACAGTGAGGGAGGGGGCAGGGGTAGGCACTGCCCATGGGGGGCAGGGAGGGACATGGGACAGAAGCGTTGGGGGCTGGGTTGAAGCAAGCTCCGGCAGCGCTGCAAGGAAGCTGCAGCCACCCCAGATCTTGCCACAGCTCCACTCCCAGCCCCACCCCACCACCCGCCACAGCTCCAGCTGAGTGGCCCAGCTCCACCCAAGTGCCAGGCAAACCCGGGGCTGCGGCAGGAGGCCGGTGGCAGTACAGGGCTGAGAGCAGAACTGCAGCAAAATTTGGGGTGGCTTTAGCTTCCTCCCAGCGCCGTTGAAGCCCACTCCGAGCCCAGCCCCCAGCAAGAAAAGCCCTGTGCAGCACCAGCTCTGGCTCCAGCTACACCCCACAGCTGCAATACACCCCACACCGTGCAGATCTGGGAGTACATTTCCCCCCCGCCCCAGGGTGCAAGCAGTGGCGAGAGCCACCCCTACCCCATGAGCCGCGGCTCTGCCCCACGCCCCCCTGGGCAGCGCCTGCCCCCTTCCTTACCATGGGGAGCATTGATCTGCCCCCACCATGCCCCCTTTCTCCCCTCTCCCCTTCCACCACCCGGAACTTACCACCTGGAGGCAGAAGTATCGAATATCCAATAGGTATTGGCCAATATGCCTCCTTAAATATTGGTTATAGGTATTGGCCCCCAAAAATCTCTATCAGTGCACCACTAGACACAAGACTCAGTGAATAAGGGCTAAAGCCACAGTGTTCCTCTGCTGGGGTCCCTGGGGTTAGCCCCTGTGGTAGCTACAAACCATTTCCTGAGAAAGCCTCTGCTTCCTATATGTATCCCCACCCCCTTCTTCCAGTGCTTTCAAAAAGGATAAATCCCAGTCCTCAAGTGAGAGCTGGTAGTGGGAGCGGGGGAGGACAGGTCATGAGGATGCCCATGCAGGGAATGGAGCTAGTAGCTGATTCTGGTGCAAGTAGGCCTGCAGTAACAGGGGAGGTTACTTGGGTAATATATAGAAAGAAGGGTTGGAGAGGGGTGCTGGGATGCTTGTGCCTCAGACTTTTGCCTGACCTCGTCTGTGTTTGCTTTTAGGTCTATAACTTGCTCCCACATTTCTCAAAAGGAAGCTATCCCTACAAGACTCAAGATCCTGACTCACGCTGTCCAGGACAATTTGGGCAGCCATACATGACAGGTCCCATAGGTTTATCTTTTGGCCGTCAGGGCAACCGGAGACAAACTAGTAAAAGAGCAGTTAACTTTGAAAATCGTCCAGCAAGTCCATTTCCTCCTCCTGAAATCGACTTATCTGGACGTATGATAGTATGGCCATGGCCACCATTACTGCCACTGCTACAGACACCGCCACTGCCACCATTTGGATTTCAGCTTCCTTCTCTCCAGACCTATTCTGATGTCTACAGTTTGTTTCAGGTATGGGGCACACCTAGCCATGGGCAGATGCAGGATTCTGAGAAAGAGGGGGTGCAATCGATGTGGTGCATTGTCCCACAGCACAACATAATTTTTTCTCAAAATAAAAAGAAAGTCAAAGCTTTGTTAATATGCCAGAGACCGTGTTAGTCAGTCTATGATCCCAGCAAAAACAAACACACCTGAGTCTGTAGGGGAATGGCATCTGGTGCCAGGAGAGGGCAGCTGTTACCCCCCAACCTGGTCAGGGACAGAACTGCTCCCTACACCCCACACAAGTCCCTCAGGCACTCCACCCAATGCCCCTCACTGCTCTCCCTGCATTACCCCTGCCATCTCTGCCCCTTGTTAGCCCACATATCCCCATTCTCAGCCCCATGCTATCCTGCCCCGACCCCATCAGATTCCACCATCCCCCTGACCGTCACAGCCCCCATGAACCCACTGCACCCTGCACAGGCTCCTCTCCAACATGTCCCAGGCCCCTGACCCTTACCATCCCCCCTCACACC